TCCTGGCTTATGGAGCATAAATTCTAGTGGGAGACACAAATAATAAAAAATTAATAAAGTACATGTGATAATGCTATGGGAAAAAACAGCAGAGGTTAAATGCAGATTCACTTGTCTCTTAATTAAAAGTTTTTCTCTTGTCATGTATATAGCAGAGTGAGCTGGGAGAAGACTGAAAAATGTTCATTCGACAAATATTTATTGAATACGTATTATGTGCCAGGCACTATGATAAGGATACAATGGTGAGCAATATAGACCTCATGACCTCATGACCTCATGACCAACTGGTAGAAGTGCTACATGTCAAAAACATGAGGAATTATGGGAGCTGGAGTCTGGAAAGAGATCTTTGAGGAAACAGTATTTAAACTAAGTATTCAAGAATGAGTAGTTTAATAGGTAAAGTACGGAAAAAGCACTGCAAGACAGAAAACATCAGGTGCAAAGGCCTTGAGCTGCAATAGTATATGATAGGTTAGAGCAGGGGTCCCCAACCCCTGGGCTGCAAACCCATACTGGTCAGTGGCCTAGGAACCAGGACACATAGTAGGAAGTGAGTGGCGGGTGAGCGAGTGAAGCTTCATCTGTATTTGCAGCTGCTCCCCAGCGCTAGCATCACCACCTCAGCCCCACCGCAGATCATCAAGCATTAGATTCTCATAGGAGCATTGGTCCCTGGTGCCAAAATGGTTGAGGACTGCTGGAGAAGAATCCAAAGGTCAGTGTAGTCAGAGCACAGGGATGGAGTGAAGTGTGGTCAGGTTCAATTCAACAAACAGTATTGACAGTCCAGTGTCTGAGCAATTGATAAGATAAAGCTGAGGTAGACAGAAGCTGGATCATGCAGGGCCTTCTAGGTCAGGTGTAGAATGTCAGTTTTTATCTTATGAGTAGGAAGCTATTGCAACATTTTAAGCATCAGTTTGTGTTCTGGCCTATGAATGGAGAACAGATTGGAGGGATCAAATAGTGGATATGGGGAGAAGCAGCAGTTCCAATAATCTGTGTGGGAGATTGTGGAGATGGAGAGAAGCAGACAAAATCAAGGGATATTTAGAAATGTATATTGTTAGGATTTGGCAAGTGAGTAAGGCGATGAGTGAGGTTTCTAGCTTTTGCCATTGAGTGAGTACTAGGCATAGAAAGTTCATGAGAAAACACATTGAGTTGGGGATGTTTTTGAGATACATAAATGGAGATGTCAATCAGGAAGCTCAAAAGAGAGATCTGGGAGTTATCAGTAACTAAAGCTCAAAGTGGGAATGAAACAATCCTAGAAAAAATAGACTTGAGAAAGAACAGGGCGTAGAGAAACTTTTAGATTTGAAGGCTGGAGGTGGGTGAGCCAGCAAAGGAGGCTACGAAGCTGCAGCCAAAGAGGCAGTAGTAAAAGTATGTGAGTGGAATCACAGATGCCAGTGGATGACTGTCAATGATGAGGAACTAGATAGTAGTACCAGGTGCTACTGAGAAGTGAAGTAAACTAAAGACTGGGGAATAACCCTGGATTCAGAAATATGAAGGTCACATGGTGAGCCAGCATCACCTCAGTAAGAACCATTTCAATAGAATGGAGGTTGTAGAAGTCAAAAGACTAGGTGGAGGAATGGATGGAGAGGGCCAAAGTATTCAACCGTTTAGCTATAAATTGGAAAAAAATAGGATGGAGCTGGAGGGAAAATGAGGTACAGAGTGGTATTGTTTGGTATTAACAGGGGAGTCTTTAGCATGTTTAGAATTTAGTAAGGTGGGAAAAAGTCAGATTCCCAAGGAAGGAAAGAAGGACTAGAATTCAAAGTATAGAATATAGGCGTTGGCTTTAAGAGGAATGCTTGCTCCGTTTTAGACAGGAGAGGAGAGAATGATGCAGATGTGGGTGAGTAACCATGTCTGGTAACCAGTTGTTGTGAGTTCCCAAATGATAGCTTCTACTTTTCTGTGAAGTAAGAAATTGGATTATCTGCAGAAAGCAGAGAGAATTGTGGTAGGGGTGTGTGCTAATAAGAGATTTAGGAATATTAATTTGAAATATTCATTGAAGCGAGTGGGAGAGACAACTAGAAAATCCAGTGGGATTATAGCAGCTGAGACACCATTTGAAGCTGGTAACCATGGATTCCTTGTGATATAAATCTATTCTATAGTGATTTCTTGGGGTGGCTTTTATCTGTCCAAACACAGGAACAAATGTGTTTCATTTTATCTAAAAGTCTAAAAAAGAGAAGGAAATAAGCTATTCCAAGAGGTTCACTAAAATTTAAGCTGGATAGGAATCTAAAGACAGGAAGGTATTAATATAGAGAAGGGAGAAGCAATGGCCTGACTGCTCCAGTGAAATCAAAGAATGGTAATGTTACTGTTGCAGCGATCGGAGTTCCAGTAACACACCTCTAATTCATCACTGATGAAGAAATGAATTTCAATTCAGTGAATATGAGAAATGTTCATTTATTAAAAGCATATTATGAGATAGAAGATGGGTCAAGCCTCAAGCTGGCTATGTGGAAATGATACATACCTCAGCTGGGGTGGGGGGTGGGGGGGTGGGGATTGAAGGGTTATAGCCTTGGAAGATGGGGAGCTGTAACCTCAGGGGAAGGAGAGGTCTGCATTATATTCAGGGCCGTGATGGGTGGTTACAAAGGTGTTTTTAGGTGATTGGCAAGTGAGGTCATTTTGATTGACACTTGGTTGCTATATAACTCTTGGCCTAATGTGCATGTGCTTACCCAGAATTCAGTCTGTTATAGATTATGAACTTCCAGGAACAAACGTAGTATTATAATGAAGCTTAAACTCTGTGCAAATTAGGATAGATGTCTGCGCAGGTGTCTGTAGCCCGCTAAGATCATGACCCTCCTTTCCTTAGTCTCTGGGGATGCAGGAGGGATTCTCTACCAGTAGGGTGTTCTCTGGGTGGTCTCTAGGCTGGGCCCCTATTACTTTGTTCCCCGTCGCTCATGTCTAACTAGCTACCTAACATTAGTAGAATAGTTCAGTAAATAAAGTGGGAATATGGTTCGTAAATAAGATGCAAGTAATAGTGCTTCGAAGATAGAGCAGTGTGCGGTGAAGACAAATGGCCAGGCTATAACTACGGGAATTGCAGGTAAGGTAGTGGAAATCATTGAAGATTAGGTCAAAGAACTAGACCAAAACACTGAATGGAGTGTCCATGTAAACATTAAGGTGGATAGGAAGACCAAGGGCTAGCTATGTAGAGGAAGGTAAGAGAGTGGTAGTTACTAAGGACAGAGAGGGTAGCACACTTGAATAGCCTCAAAGGAATCAGACTTTGCAAAGGAAAGGTATGGGTAGTTGTGTTCTGAATCCACAGTGGCAGGAATATCAACCCTTCAATGTTTGTAGTAAAGGGATAAAGCTTTATCATTGTTTATTCTTATTGTGCTTGAAACCTCATATGCTCTCATTTTGCCAATGACTACTTACAGCAAGACCTGAGGGAGACTTCAGCAACTACAGAAGATTGATGGTAGGAAGAACGTTCTTCTAAGTATGGAGAGGAAAGAATCGGGACATCAGAGATTGAAAATTAAGAGACTAACTGATGGATGAGATCTAGGGACACTTGTTTTTCCATGCCTAGGGACAGGTTTGGTGCAGTTGAGTAAGCAAATAAACTCTAGAAGTTCAAAAAACTTCTATATTCCTAGCCCTTCTCCAGCAGTTATTATGTGACATGGAAACAGATAATTTACAATCATCTGGAAGTTTAATTATATATAAGTTTATTGCAAGGATACACACAAATGTTGATGTGGAAGAATCCTCCCACCAGCAGCACAACATCCCAGGTCCCTATTCCTGTTTCTGGAGATTGGGAAGTTCACAAGCTGTTTTACCTGAATTTATACTTCCCAAGGAAAGAATGTTATTGGTAGACATGAAGCCACTCAGTAGGGAGTTTCTGGTCAGCAACTCTGACATCCCTAATAAACCCTTCTGTGTAAGATTTGTTCAAGAGAAAGCTAAAAAGGCAAATAGCTGATCAGAGCCACTCTTCTCAGCAGGTAACTGTGTATAAGATGTGCTTCTAGTACATTTTGGATTCTTCTTCATCTGTTAAGTGAGGATAATATCTCTTGCAGTTTTGTCATAGATTAACTAAGATCAAGCATGATACATACCAACATCAACCCATACAAAGTAGGGGCTCAATAGATATTATTTTGAGAGGTAGCCTGGTATAGTAAAAAGAAGATGGATTTTAAAGTTAGACTTGTATTTTAATACAGGGTCTGCTCGCAGAGAATTTCAACTTCCTGTACAGGGAGAAAACGTGTGCTTTGTGGGTTGCTCTAAGAATTTGTTTTTATTATTCTGAGAGCCAATGTTTAAGAGCTTCCATTTCCTCTGTAAAAAATGAAACTTGGTCACCTGATGCGGGATAGTTGAAGGTGAGGTGGGGAATTAAGGGGAGCAGTAAAGGTGCAAATAACTGCCCTGGTGATTAAGGAGAG